GATATTTATGCTCAGTGATGTGCAGCTCTAGGACATCATCACAATGTTGCTCCATGGTCCTGAAGCCTTTACACAACTCTTCCTAATGTAAATCTACAGTCTCAGCAAAACTGTACCAATCAGTGTTTTAATCTTCTTCTAATGCATGCCACTAAGCGCAGATACCTGCTGTAAAAATGGATTACCCTTTCATTCCAAAAGCTCTAATGGCTGCCGCTCTGAAGTTTCAATGTTCAGAGTCTTCCTTTGTTCCCTGTCTCTGTCTTTCTGTCTCTCAATATTTCATAAAGTAATTATCACTCCAGGAGAGAGCAAGATGGAGGGCTCAGAAGACAAATAAACCAGAGACATTGCGCCAAATACCACCAGAAGCACTGAGAATATCTGGGGAGTAACATTCCAGCTGCCCCTTAAAGTTCACTAATATGTTTTAAGAACGAGAAGCTGCCATCCCTACCTGGTGCAGACAACATGTGCTGCTGTTATAAAACATACCCATGAGAGATGTGAATGAAGAGAAGGCCGTGCAGCCCCTCGAACCTGCCCTGCCATTTGATAAGATTGTGACTTATCTGATTGAGGCCAAACACCACACTCTGACCTACTCCCAATGACCTTTGAATCCCTTGTTGGTCAAGATTCTGTCTTCCTCTGCCTTATGTGTTGGAGTTTTGACAGAATAACGAGAAATTGTTTCCAATGGCTGAGTGATCACTGACCAGAGTGCAGAGATTTGAGGTGATTGACTTAATAACTATGAGATAAGCCTTTCCTTTTAACACAACAAATATTTTGAACCCAGAATGCACTGCCTGATAGGGTGTGGAAAAAGATTCAATAGTGATCTTCAAAAGGGGAAAAAAATTGCAGGGATCTTGGGCAAGAGCCATCTCATGGAAGTAACTAGATTGCACATTGAAGGAGCCAGAACAGTTTTGATGGAACAAATGGTCTCGTTCTGAGCTGTACTATTCCATAATTTTATGACTCAGAATGCCCTCAGCACTAGCAAAGATAGGGAATAAGTGACAGCATTGCTCATATCCAATGAATGTTTTCTTAAAGTGAGAAGAATTATAGCAAATGAGACAATTTAACCGTTATGTCTTGAATTTCTATCACTGTGCTCATTATATCAGTGACAAGCGTCCACTCCTGGAATTCAAATGACAGCCTAATGATCAACAATCATCATTCAAACCATTAGAACTAAATTGTTCCACCCACAGTTTAATTTATGATGGTGAACTGCACAAAACACATGTTTTTCACATCACTGCATTCTGCTTACTGTGAAGTTTCTGCTAATTGATTTTTTTTTAGAAAACAGGATGGTAGGAGAAAAGGCATTTTAAAGCATGTTGCCCAATTTTGCATTATTTTTCAGCGCTGATTACAGAAAAAAAATCATAATCTGGTGCAATAACTGAGATAGTCCAGCCTAGTTTAAATATGGCTTAGTGAGAGTTCAATTGTCACATACAGCACTGATGATATGAAGGAATAGGAGATTAGGATTAAAAGGAAGATCCACCTTCAAGAAAGCCTTTGGCTCCCTCCCAAGCAAATTATTTCAGTATTTCATCATCGCAAGCACAAAACAATTATTTGCTTTTATGATGTAAAGGTTTCTGTTATGTCTGCAACTTCACCAGTTATCTCTGCAATTCGCCTCATTATGCATGCATTGTACCTCTGTGGTGCCTTGCTGACACTACCATGAGCTCAGCGATGGCTGAAGTACTGACCACTGCGAGATTCCCAGTGCCATATTTAAAGCCCAGCCATGTGCTAAGTCAAGCACTGCCTGCCAAAAGGTGCCCTTTGCCCTGTTCCCCCAACTCATCAGTATTCATCACATCCTCTCTTTGTCTGCTCCAGTTATACCTGGCACATTATGCCGGGGTTGTGTGGCCCACTCCATTGGGATTGTTTTTCACCCAGCCCCAGACTGATCCAAGCATCAGCAGCTCATCTTCAGGAGGACCATTGCCTACTCCACGATGGCTCTGATCCAAAGAATGGGCTGCACTGAATCTACACTTGACCTCAATCAAGGGATTGTGTAGCACAACCATTAGCTGTGTTTGCAGCGAGTAGGCCATATCTCCCAGTAACCGTCCTTATAAGGCATCCAGCCCTTGAAACAACAGGAACATGAGAGTTCTCAGGGATATAGGCGCATGGCAGCTTCCAGGGTACCCAGTGTAGACTTCTAAGATGTGGTACCAATGATCATAGATAACTTGTACATTGATGGAATGGAATGCTTTTCTATTGATTCAGTCTGCTGTGTTATAATAGCATGTGTTCACCATGATGTGCATACAGTCTATTGCACCCTGCACCTTGGGGGAAAGCCAGCTATATCAGCAAAGACTACTGCCTGGGCTGCAGCTCTGAGCTTATCACAGCGAAACAAGATGAACTGGTGTGATCTAGCACAAATTGTATTGATAACAACCTTGATACCCTTCTCGGTTGAGGATTGAGAGATCTCACGCAGGCTCCCTGTGGATCATTGGAAACAGCCAGATACATGAGCATTAAACACATCTGACTGCTTGACGACCATTGAGAAAAAAATGCCCATTCGCTCCTTCAAGTCATGGGTCCAGCAATTAACACAGATCTGTGCCATGTCCCGGGACATCCTTAGCCTGTAGCAGTGAAGCGTCTTGCTCATCTGGGGGAAATGGCATCGAGCATGATAGATTCTGGGCATCCTGTACCTCCTCCTCATCCTGAGGGCACATTTAGCTGTAATTTCTTCATGTGGAGGCTGTTCAGCAGCTGCTGAAGGTTGCTGCTGCTCCTGGGCTTGATGGCACATCTGTCTCTCCTCCATTTCTCTGCACCTTCACAGCAACAGCAACAATGACCCCTGCTGTGCCTGGATCCATTGGTTATGCTTCTAATGAACTCGTGTGGACAGTATCAGAAACAGAACTGCCATTCGGTCGAAGCACATACAGTGTGTTTGCCACAGACGTTGCTGGCACATGGTGGGGGCGTGAGATTGATGTAGCACAGTGCTATACAGCAACATGTCCAACCATTTGACTGATCACTGCTGACGACCATGTCTAGTGCCTGTCCAATGCCAACATCTGTGTAGGGGGGAGGGGCAGGCAGTCTTGGAGCGTAACCTGAGATGTTAGAGACTACAATCCAAGATGGTGGCTAGGAGGATTTAGCACTGAACGGGACCCACCACGTACCATTCTGACTTTTACATTGGAAATTCCCACTCTCCGACATGTGGGAGAATAGGAAACTGCAAATCAATGAGGCAAGATTGACATGTAAACTAATGCAACTAGGCCTCTTGCCTGTTGACATTCTCATCGCACTGTTCAAGACTTAGTCACAGAATCATGTTTTGTCAACATTGAGGACCTCAGTTTTCTGAACTCACCTTATGTTCCCGACTGGCTCACCATCTCATTCAGGGGCTAGACAATGTTCAGCCCTTAGTTTCCCTTCTCTCTTCAACTTTCATTCAAATATATAAGAACATGTCTGGTTTTTCAACACAGCCAACATACCATTAATACCCTCCCCCATCACCAGTAGGAAGAAAGCTGAACAGGGAATTAAAGCTGATAAATGCCTGAAAGCTGATGTAAGTTTGGCATGCAAACACCTACTTTGGATTTAGCTCTGGTGGAATTTGCAAGGAGGTGAGAGGAAGGGAGGGAAACTGCTCTTGAGAGGTGGGCCAATAATTTAAATGTGTCAATGAGGCTGCACATTTTAGGTTTTAGCTGATTAATCAGCTGCAAACTAGATTTCCCAGAGCTTGGGATATCCCACAGCTAAAGAGACACAAGAACTGTTGGCCTCTTGTGGGACTACTTGTGGGTCAGGAAAAGCAGGAATTCTACCATCACTGGGCAACTGTCCTCTTTCGCCAGACTGTCCTCCCTCCACTCAATCTGCCCCCAGCCTTGATCTCTCAACCAATACCCACCCCCTCTGATTTTACTTGGGGTCTCACTCCTCGTGATCCTAGTCACCATCCCCGCACCACAATCTGTCAATGTGATTCTGTGATTTCTGTTTCCCAATAATCTCCACCTCTGCAATTTGCCTTCTACAACCATGTCTTCTCCTCTACCTCCATCCTTCCTCTATCCCTCCCTCTTCTCTGGCCTTCAAGTTGTAACCATTGTACCACAGGCCATGCTGCCAGATAGTCTGTCATTCTGCCTTTGGCTATCGGACAAGAAATGGAGAAAACATTAATATTTTAGGTTTATTTAACCAGGGACTCCTGGTGATTTCAGGTAGTATACCTTATTACCTCTACCATAAACATTGGGGCCTATATATGGTGTGAATTATGCTGTCCATCCTCTCCACCTCACCCTATAGTCCTATACAACATTTCCCTTCTCTTTTGAATGTGCACCACCCTTTTCGGCAATGCGGTCACTACAGATTTCCAAGACAAAAAAGAAGTCCTCAGTCTCTTCAGTTTGTTTGCGAATTGCTTTAAATCTGTGTCCTCAGTTTACTAAAGATGAAGTTATTATGGTCTCAGAGGACCACTCTCTCATCAGAGAGAGACGACTAGTGGCAGTTTATCCACACTTCAGGTGAGGTTGAGAAAGTGGGATTTTGGTAGTGACCTCAGTCAATATTGGAATCGAATGTTGTTGGCATCACTGTTTATTACAAACCAGCAATCCAGCCAACTCAGCGAACTGACCTTTTATTAACATCCTCTGCGACTAAAACAAATTTCTTCTTATTTGCGCTCTCAAAACCATTTGTGATTTTCATGGGTACGTTTGTTTTAAGGTGTCCAGCATTAATTGTAGCGTTATTTTAGGGACACAGTAAAATCATTAGGCAAAGGACCCTGTACACTTAGGCATATAAATATATATAAACAATAATAATAAAATATATATGAACTAGACACTAATGGAGAAGGTGAAGGCTTTCCCGAAATTGCTCTGTTTTACAATTGTCTGTTTCATGTATATTTCCAGCTCCAGAGGTGGTTGGACGACAGAAATATGGACGACCAGTTGACTGCTGGGCCATTGGAGTGATCATGTACATACTGTACGTATGAATTCTTCTGGGCTCAGGATTATAGGAGTGTTGGGGAATCAGTTTTTAACATTCTGCTTACTTTCAGGTCTATGAAAATTTCCATGTACATTCCATAATGGCCCATGCATTAACATTTAAACCATCAATATCACAAATTACATTTTGTCTACTGAGCACCTCTATCCTAACCTTTAATGGATCAAACCAATTTTATTAAGAAAGCATTCAACATGTCAATCTAGAATAGATAATGTGAGAGTTGTGTACATTGAATGCTCCCACAGAACAGAGGGAGAGTTGTGTTAAATTGTTCCTGTTAGAATGTACTCAGCAACACATTGCTTCATTAGAAGGATGTTAGACATATATTTAGGTAAATTTGAAAAGAAAGACAAGGACAGAAAATAGACAAGTGGTTCTCCTTTTTCCTAACACAGATCAGAGGTTGTAGAATACAAAATTTGACAATGAGTATTATGAAAGACTGTAAAAGAACATACAAGTAGGGCAGCTAAAATATGTAGATATCAGCAGGATGGACAGCTATGTGGAACATGTAGTTCCAGTGCACAAGAATAGGAAGGAATATGTTTCCAAAATGTGATGCCCTACATTCAAAAAGGTTGTTCACAGATATTGGGCAAGAACACATAATAACTACACGCAATAGATGTAGTACCCAAGGAACCACTGCCTATTAAAAAATGGACTGAATAAAATTGAGGACAAACTACTTCCTTTAATTCACAGATCATCATCCTAATAAGACTCTGATAGCAGAGGTTGGAGGCTAAGATGAGAGGATTTTTTAAATTAAGGGAGCTGGTGGCATAGTGGTCATGTCACTGGGTTAGTAATCCAAAGGCCTAGTTAATGTTCTATGTTTGAAATCTGCAATTAAGAGCTAGTTTAATAGTGACTATGTACCCACTGTAGATAATTGTTTAAAAAAAAACCCAACGGGTTCATTAATGTCCCTTAGGGAAGGAAATCTTCTGTGTTTTTATTCGTTCACGGGATAAGGGCATCGCTGGCTAGGCAGCATTTGTTGCCCATCCCTAATTGCCCAGAGGGCAGTTCAGAGTCAACCACATTGCTGTGGGTCTGGAGTCACATGTAGGCCAGAACAGATAAGGAAGGCAGTTTCCTTCCCTAAAGGGCATTAGTGAACCAGATGGGTTTTGAAGACAATCAACAATGGATTCACGGTCATCATTAGATTGTTAATTCCAGATATTTATCGAATTCAAATTCCACCATCTGCCATGGCGGGATTCAAACTGGGGTCCCCAGAACATTATCTGGGTCTCCGGATTAATAGTCCAGCAATAATGTCCTTACCTGGTCTGGGCCTATATATTACTCCAGACCCACAGCAATGCAGTTGGATCTAAACTTATCCCTAAAATGGCCGAACAAACCAATCATTTTCAAGGGAAATGACAGACGGGCAACAAATGATGGCTTTGCCAGTGTTGCCACTATCTCTTCAAATAGAAAACAAAATCTTAATTTATGAACATACAAATTAGAAATCAGTAGGCCAATTGACCTCTCAAGCCTACACCATCATTTAATACGAGCGCAACCGATCTGATTGTGGCCTCAAACACCATTTTCCTGTGGATTCCCAGCAAACTTTGAATCCATTGTTGGGCAAGAATCTATCTCACTGCCTTTAGAGTATTTAATGACCCTGCTTCCACTGTTTTCTGGGGAACAGAGTTTCTTTGACTCATGATACCCTGAAAGAGTGTGAGAGATATAAGAACAATGCTTAAATTTTGGACTGTTTAGTCCTTTCTCTTTGGCAATTGCTCCAACAAAGAGGATCAAGTTTAGGTGTTTCAATTTAAAAGGTAAGTAGGCTGAAGGAGTTTGCTGAGTGTAATCACAGCAATATTGACAATGGAGAAATCAGTGATAGGGATAAGGAACAGTGCCAGAGGTAGATAGGCATCCTGGAAAATCCCAGAAGTGGGACTATAAGCTGCACAGCCCAGAAGTGCTATTGAGTGGTAGGAAAGGATAATGTCCTGGTTTGATTTGCTTCTTGTCTGGTTATGTATTACATCAAGGAAACCGGTGAACAGGAAAAATAAACAGCATCTATTAAACAGAGCTCAGCATTAATGCAATTAATGAAGCAGCTTGCTTGGAAAATTCAAATTAGACATTCCCTTAATAACAAGTCAGCAACATCTTTTTATCAATTCCTATTTGGATGCTTCAACAAAGCACCAGTTGACAGTTTATTCCAAAAGATGGCATGAACTACATTACGTGATAGTCTGTTCCAAGCTGTTTGGCAATCAGCATGCCAGCTTCTGATAGCAACCTGTTCCAATCAGATCCATGTTCACTGTCTCAGGTGGCAGCTAACAGCTCTAAGTGTCAAGAACTTTGTCTTCAGATTCGCTTACTCACACTCAGCTGTTGAAAGTCGAGCTGTTCCTGGAGCATCTCTTTTAATGCAGTAATTTACTCATCTCTCGTGAATTCTGCTCTCCCTGAGTAATGCTGGGAGGCACTGCAAGGTTTGCAACCGACTCAATATTTGGGCCTTGTCACACAGCTCACAGGATACAGGAGTGCTGCCAAGTAACCAAATGTCAGGAGGAAGGAAACATACAAACATAGAAAATGGAGCAGGAGTAGGCTCTTCAACCCTTTGAACCTGCTCTGCCATTCAAATGATCATGGATGATCACCCAACATAGGCCGTTGTTCCCACTTTCACCCCCAGCCTTTAATCCCTATAGCCTTAAGAGCTGTAGCTAAGCTCTTCTTGAAAACATTCAATGTGCTGGCTTCAATCGCTTTCTGTGACAAAGAATTCCACAGGCTTATCAATCTCTCGGTGAAGAAATTCCTCCTCATGTCAGTCCTAAATGACCTACCTGATGTCCTTAGTTTGGCACCCCAGTCATCAGGAACATCCTTCCTGTGTCTTATTAGAATGTTATAGGTTTCTTCAAGATCCTCCCCCATCATTCTTCTAAACCTCAGTAACTATAGTCCAAACCGATCCAGTCTATCTTCATACATCAATCCTGCCAATCCAAGAAGCAATCTGGTAAATCTTTGTTGCACTCCCTCCATAGCCAGAACATCTTTCCCAGGTAAGGAAAACAATGTTGCACGCGATAGTCCAGACATCTCGCCAAAGCCCTGTTCAATTGCAGCAAGGCATCCCTGGTCCTACACTCGAATCCTCTCACTAGGAAAGCCAGCATAGAATTTGCCTTCTTCACCTGCATGCTTTTTTTCAACTGGTACACAAGAACACTCAGGTCTCACTGCACCTCCCCCTTTCCCAACTTATCACCATTCACAGTGCCAAGGCTGTAAGTGTATCCTGTTTGAAGCTGAGGTAGAATAGGTAGCATGATTAAATGAGAGCACAAACCATTCAGTTTAAAATCTTGACTGAATGAAGCATAGATTGTAGGAGTGAAATGTTTCTCCCCTCTCTCTCTCCTCCTGTCTCTCCTTCTGTCAATTGTACGGATCTCAGTCGAAATAAGAACTAAGCAATTCCAAAGCAGGTTCCTACTAAGGAAGACAAAAATGACTGCTGTTGGTAAACTGAGCATCTCACTCAAGCAATTCATATGGATGGCCCATGTGGGAAGAGCAACTATCACATCAGGATGTTTTTCCAAGTCTGATGTTAAGATTCATTGCTCATTCTCACATAGTTCCAGTGTTATCTGCTGTCTAAGCATAGATTGCTGACAAAGTGGTACTGAAGTAGAATCAACAATTTTCTGTCATGAACATTTGACATGGTTCTCTAATGTCCTTTAGGGAAGGAAATCTGCTGACCTAGTCTAGCCTCCATGTGACTTCAGACTCACAGTGATGTCACTGACTCTTAACTGTCCTCTGGACAATAAATACCGGCCAAGCCAACAACACCCACATCCAATGGCACTGTTGTGTACCATCTATCATGATGTGCTACAGCAACTCAGCAAGGCTCTTTTGACAGCACTTTCCAAAACTGCAATCTCAACCATCTAGAAGGACAAGGGCCACACATCAGTTGGAACACCACCTCGTGCAGTTTTCCCTCCACACACTTTACTGAGTCGGAACTATATCACAGTTCCTTACCATCACTGGTTGGAGCTTCCTTCCGAATGGCACTGTGGGTATTCCTACAAAATATACCATCTGCAATATCTCAATTGAACCTGCGTCCACCACACTTCCAGGCAGAGCGTTCTAGATCCATACCGCTGTGACGTAAAACTCTTAACCTTACATTTGCTTCTTTTGAAAATCACTTTAAATCTGTGCCCTCTCATTCGTAATCCTTTTATGAACAGGAACAGCTTCTTCCTATCTAATTTGTCCAAATCCATCATGCCACTAAATCTTAGTCGCGAGCTAGATGTTGGTCAGGTCACTGGGGAGACATTTCCTGCAGTTCTTTGAAGAGAGCCTTATATTCAGCGAAAGAACAGGATGGGGACCTCAGTTTAAAATCCTGTCTGCAGTCTGGTAGCACTTCCTTGCTATTGCGTTTAAGTGATGGCCTAGATTATTGTACTGAAATCCTGCTGTAAATCTTGCCTGGAGTTTTAGATTTGAATCTGCCTGATGGAAACTGAATCCTTTAGAGTCAAAGTTGCTCTTCTAATCCACAATTTTTCCCTCAGGTTATCAGGGAACCCACCTTTTTATGATGAAAACGATGATGAAGATTATGAAAACCATGACAAGAACTTATTCCGAAAAATCCTAGCTGGGGACTATGAGTTTGATTCTCCATACTGGGATGACATTTCAGAAGCTGGTAAGCAGTAAATTGGTGCTTTACAATATTGGAACAGAGCAGACCATTCAGTCCCTTTCAGCCTGTTCTGTATACTGTTCCATTTATTTTCCTCAACTTCTGTATCCCTCGAAATCCTCACTGAAGTTTTATTGATGTCAGCCTCAAAGCTCCCTCATTAGGATCTTTTGATGGTGAAAACTCCAGATTTCTACTACCCTTTAAATGTTTATTATTTGCAGTGCGCAACCAAACTTTTCAAACCTCTTGATAAATTTAGATTGTCTCCCTTAAGATTTAAAGAAATAAATCTCAGAACTGAAATTATCAAATATAAGAATTGTTTACAAATTTCAACCAGTGAAGACAGTGTTGCTACAGGGAAGCAAGTTGTCTTTGGACCTAATAATCCAGAATCCCAGGTTGATGTTCTGGAGACGTGGGTTCAATTCTGATAATGGCAGATGGTGAATTCAATAAAAATATGGAACAACAAAAACCTAGCATCAATTCTTGTAAAAATCCACCTGGTTCACTAATGTCCTTTAGGGAAGGAAATCTGCTAGCCTAGTCTAGCCTACATGTGATTTCAGAACCACAGTGAAGTGGCTGACTCTTAACTGTCCTCTGAACAATAAATACTGGCCTAGCCAGCAACACCCACATCCAATGTATGAAGAAAATGCTGGATTTGGCTGAAATTTAAATGCCATCCAGAGATCTCATATTTTGATAGAACCATTCAAACCTCAAAAGTACTCAACAGCCTCCTGAAATGTCGTCATTGCTGTTAAGAGGCCAAACATGACATTCAGTTCATCTACGAGAGTAAGGACTCCTGGCTAGCTGAATGCTCAGTTAATCTGATTCTGGTTGAGAATTACTGTTGTGGGTTATGCCGATAAAGGGCATTTATGGGTTAATCCTTGTTGAAAAGCCTTCAAACCTGGGAAAATAGTATCAGTGGGTAGGCAGTCAGTATACTACACTGTGGAACAATGCTGCAGGAGGTGGCTGTTGGAAATCTAAAAGACTTAGTGGTTGCTATAGAACTGGTTATTGACTCATTTGAGGAACCAGTGGTATTATTGGTTGAAAATGAGGATATGTTTTCAATGCATATTGTGCATTTAAGAGAATCATCAAGAATAGAGCGACAGAGGGGCTCTGTTAAAAAAAAGTATTATTTACTTTCATAAATCAATATCTTGGATTTGAGCCTGAGTCTGATCTGCCACCTTCAGTATCATTTCAAAGTTCATCGTAGGATGAAGCCTTTCAATCACCAAATCTTGGTTTCCAGCCCCCTCTATTGGAAACTCTAAACACTGAAGGAATATTCAACCATTAGTTTTTTTGCCTCCTGGAAAGTCATGACATGAGAGGGAATGTCTTTGAAGGTGGTCGCAACTTCACCACTTCCCTGGAAGTGCAGAAGAAGCGTCATGTACTCACAAAGCTGCACATTTCTAGCAAAGTTAGGGCAAATGAACAGAAAGATTTCTGGCCCAACTTCCAATGCCTGAAGATTGGAAGGCCACAACTTTGAGGTAACCTTCAAGATATTTTTTTTCTTGAGTAGTAGCATTGTTTCTTCATTCTTCGTGTTATTCGTTTGTGATTCATTAACTCTACATAATCAACCCTACCAATTGTCGATAAACACCACATTAGTGAAATTAACCAGGAGCTGTTTCATTAATTCTAGTATCTGGTGGCAGCTAAATTACCCAAACAAAGTGCTGTCCACAAGTGAATCACGGTTAAAAGGCAAGTTATTAGATTATGGTGCACAAATGCGATTAAGCCACCAGGTCTGTGGAGAGAGAAATGGAGTTAACATTTCGGATCTGTGACCATTCATCGGAACTGAGAAAAGTTAAAAATATGATGCAATTTGAGCAAGTGAGAAAGAACAAAAGGTAAGGTCTGTCATAGAGTGAAGGCCACGAGAGTTTAAATGACAATAGCTCTCATGGCGCAGGACACGGTGCAAAAGGAGGTGTACATGACAGGATCCTGAATAGCTGATATCTGAAAGCAAAGGGATAAAAGAATGAGAGAGAAAAAAAAACTGGGAACAAAGGTTACAATCTAAAAGTGTTGGAGTCTAGAAGGCTGCAAAGTTTCTGAAGAAAGGTGAGCTTTTGTTCCTCAAGCTTGCGTTGAATTTCACTAGAATATTATAGTGGACCAAGGATAGAAAAGTCAGAGTGAGAGCAATAGGCACATTTTACAAAGTTACAAGCAAGTGGAACAAATAAATCACTATTTTGACTGAATGGGATATGGACCTCAGTAGTTAAGAAGAGAGGAAAAAGGGAGCAGTTGCATGGACTAGTGCTGTAGACATAGGGCTTTTTTCTGGAGGGTGTGCTGTGACATGGGGGAGAGTTGACTGAGGCCAAGGACAGAAGATCATGGAGGAAACAGTCCCGTTGAAACATTAAGAAGAGGCTACTAGGGTAGAAGGTGAGAACAAAGAAAGTCCTATTGTACTTCTGGGATGGGAAGTGGTAAGAGTCAAGCTCCACAAAATAGAAGTCGAGAGCTCTGTCAACAATGATGGGAGGGAATCTTCAGTTGAGGAAAAAGGAAGATATATTCAATGTGTTAGTATGGAAAGTTGCATCACCTGAACAGTTGGAGAAGCTGAAAGAATGGAGAATCCTCACCAGAAGCAGGTTGTAAGGATGTCAATCAAGATGGCTATGTTTGTCAATGATGAATTTTATTTCAACAGTTTCCATTATAAATATAATGAGGACAGTCTCGCAAACAAAGTTGACATAAGGAAGTAAGGCTTTGCAATGTCCATTTTTAAAGATGTTGTATTTCTAACCAGCAAAAGATTTGGTGAGTCGTTTGATGGAGGTTGACCAGGACACAAGGATAACAGCTCAAGAAGCCATAAACCATGAATGGTAAGCTGGAACTAAGACTGGATAAGCAAGAGGAAAATCATGTAAATGCTGAAAATATGAAACTAAAACAAAACCTGCTGGAAATACTCAACAACTGAGTAACAGAGCTAACATTTCATGCTGAAATGATTTGCTGAAAGGTCATTTCAGTATGAACCATTCAACAGAATCTTTTCTCACTGGTGATGAGCTTGAGAGCAGGAGGGACATTTAACAGGATAGTAATGTACCTGAACCCTCAACCAGTTTTGCCAGAAATTAAGTTCTCGGTGGGAAATGCCCTTCCTGCCCTCTGCCATCAATTGATGCTCTTGTGGTCAGTTAAGGACCAGTTAAGGGCCTTCTGCTGCCACCACTGAGATAACTCCAGCTGTAAGCAAGACTGTCACCATTAGATGTGCACAACAAGGTCAAACTGTGTGGCCACTTGTTACCTCAGAGTTTAGGATGGGGGTGCTGTTGGCGGTCCCTTGATCAAAGGCAATGTGTGCAACTTTGGGAAGAGGGTGTCCCTGCCAGGAGACACCTCCCTGGCCCTTGGGGGCAGAACAGAAAGTGAACATGAAGTCCTGTAACTACCCCCACATTACATTTGGCCTGGGTCCTTTGTGACTCTGGGATTTGGCAGAGGGGCTGGGGTCCTTCGGGCAACAGTCTTCCCTGTGGTGCGCACCTCTCTCTAAAGACACCGAGAGGACTTCAGGACACCATGTGTTCCCTATCCATTGACATGGGGTAGCAGCCTTTTCAGTGGTGCTGCTGAGCACTAAGACTTGTCAGACTCTAACTGTACAGCAACTCCCGTGTGGAAGGACCTAGGTTCTTGATTCCATGGAAAGATCTGCTGGTGGCCTCACCTTTTCAGCATGTGGTTGCTCATGCTGTCCCAAGATGAGGCACCATGGGTCTCTCACCATCTCTCCAGTCAACAGGTGAGACCCCCGACACCTCTGTCAGAATCTTCTTTTCTCTCCACAGTTACTGACCAAGCTATTGAGTTTTTGCATTTTCTTTTTGTTTGGATAAGCAAAGTCTGTCAAAATACTCCAATTTGTTTCCAAGTGTCTTCTCTCCTTCCCCATACAGGATTTCAGGAAACGCAGCTTCAGACAAGAACATCAAGGATGGTGTCTGTGCTCAAATTGAGAAAAACTTCGCCAAAGCGAAATGGAAGGTACTTGAAGTAAATACCATTTTTCCTGGCTTTAACTGTTGTTATGTGATCACATCATTGTTATAGATGTTTGTGTCTGCAGTGGAGTATGTTCTCATCTTCTGCACTCAACCCACTTGACTTGTACATCATTTTCAATGCAATAAGATAGTGACTTAAACTATACTAGAAACTTGAAATGAACAATGCAGAGGGTGGTGCGTGTATAGAATGAGCTGCCAGAGGAAGTGGTGGAGGCTGGTACAGTTACAACATTTAAAAGGCATCTGGATGGCTATATGAATAGGAAGGGTTTACAGGGATATGAGCCAAGTGCTAGTAAATGGAAGTAGATTAATTTAGCCTATCTGGTCAGCATGGACGAGTTAGACCGAAAGATCTGTTTCTGTGCAGTACATCTCTATGACTCTAATGATAGTGGGACTTATAAAATGAAGAACACATGCTCCATATTGTTTATTTTCATAATGTAATTCATTACTGTAGGTGTGCTGCATTAGGGGGATTTACAATCCTTCAGTTAAAACAGGAAACTTGTTAGGTTGGTTCACAAGAAGTCCATTCAGCCCATTGAGTCTGCAGCACTCCTCTGAAAAGCATCCCACCCCCTCACCCCAACCCTGTAACCCTGCATTTCCCATGGCTAATCCACCTAGCCTGTACATCCCTGGACACAATGTGCAACATAGCATGACCAATCCACCTAACCTGCACATCTTTGAACTGTGAACTGTGCCAGATAACCCAGAGGAAACTCACACAAACATGGGGAGAATTTCACACAGACAGTCACTCAAGGTTGGAATCAAACCTGGGCCCCTGGTGCAGTGAAGCAGCAGTGCTAACCACTGAGCCACCATGCCACCCACTGGTTTAGATGGATTTTTTCTTCCTTCATTCACTTGTTGTTGGTGTCACTAGAAAAACCAACATTAGCAAAGCTGTTTGAGCATTTTAATCAGATTTTAAAATCAACCACACTGCTGTGGGTCTGAAGTCACTTTTGGACCAGAACATTCAATTTCCTTCCCAGAATGATATTAATGAACCAGTTGAGTTTGCTAAGTAAATCTTTCAGTTTCATGATGACCACTATGATGTTAATTTTGTTTTAATTCCATATTTATTTATTTAATGGAGTTTAAATTTCACAGCTTTCAATGGTAGGTTTTGAACACACATCTCCAAATCATTAGTTTAGTCCTCTGAATTGCTAGCTCAGTAACATAATCATTAGGTTTATCTTAACTCTAAATAATTCAATGATGGTTGTTGAAAATCCGATTTCACAAATTCAGGGGATCCTCCTGATAACAGAGGAATAGATAGGATAGAAGCAGGGAGCTTTTTTCCATTGGCAGGAGAAACTAGAACTAGGGGGCATAGCCACAAAATAACAGGGAGCAGATTTAGAACTGAATTGAGGAGGAACTTCTTCACCTAAAGGGTTGCGAATCTGTGGAATTCCTTGCCCAGTGAAGCAGTTGCGGCTATCTCACTGAATGTGTTTAAGGCAAAGCTAGATAGATTTTTGAACAGTAAAGGAATTAAGGGTTAGGGTGAGCAGGTGGGTAACTGGAGCAGGTTCCACAAAAAGATCAGCCATGATCTTATTGAATGGTGGGACAGGCTTGATGGGTCAGGTGGCTCATATTTCTTATGTTCTTATGATATTCCAGCCAATATTCTCACTTCACCTGTACTATCAGAAATGACAATGAGAATTGGACATTCGTCTCAATGTTTTCTTGTCTTGTTAGTCCTCCCAAAAGCATCATCTCGTATTTTTCAAGATTAAATTCTATTTGCCACTCTTCAACCTATCTGACAAGCCTATCTCATAGATCATAGAATCCCTACAGTGTGGAAACAGGCCATTCAGCCCAACAAGTCCACACCACCCCTTTGAAGGGCATCGCACCCAGACCCATTCCCCATGTCTAACCCACCTAACCTAAATATCCTGGGCACTACGGGCAATTTAGCATGGGCAATCCACCTACCCTGCACATCTTTGGACTGTGGGAGGAAACACACACCGACATGGGGAAGAATATGCAAACTCTACACAGACAGTTGCCCGAGACTGGAATCGAACCCGGGTCCCTGGTGCTGTGAGCCACCATGCCACCCATCTGTATTGTCCTGTAATCCTGCAGAGGGCAGTCATTGAAAGGCATCCAGCTACCTTTGCCTGTCCCACAGCGATTGCCCTGTAAATACAATTCCCTAATCTGCATCCCACCTTTACTCACCTGAATCTCAGGATCCAGCCAGTGATCTCTGAAGCACTACCAGCAGAAGCTACTGCTTTTGGTGGCACTGTCTCAGACAGGCCTGTAGCTCTCAGCAAATGGATTTTCTGCCACTAGTGTCCTTAATCCCAGGGAGGCCTAACACTGGACCGTTAATTTGAGGTCTCCCATGGAAATGACGCATATTTCCCACCAGCTCTTGAACCAGTGGTCAGGCCTTGCAATAAAGCTTACCCACTGAGTTAATACAGTGATCTGCTGAGCATGTGATGCATTGTGCAAAAAAAAAAGTTCAGGCACAGATATTTTGACAGAATAAAGAGCAGATTGTAGATATGAAATTCACTCATCCAAGTTCACTGATGACCTGGAATATGTTCATTAGATCATATGCAGTAATAATGGGAGGAGTTCATGACAGCACTAAAACCTTGGAACATCAGAGGGCAATGTAATCATAGTAACAGCATAGTCAGTAGAGACTGAAAACATTTTGCTGTTATTCTGTGTGTATCCATGAACCTTTGATGTCCTGTGATTTAGCAGTAGCATGCATGGAATCATAGAATCCCTAAAGTGTGAAAGCAAGCCATTCAGCCCATTGAGTTTCCAAACAGCATCCCACCCAGACTCACCCCGTAACACTGTCTGTATTCCCCATGACTAATCTACGTTATGGGCAATTTAGCATGGCCAATCCACCTAATCTGCACAGTGGGAGGAAACTGGAGCACCCAGATACACAGAGAATGTGCAAACTCCAGTCACCTGAGGGTGGAATCGAACTCAAGTGCCTGGTGATGTGAGGCAACAGCACTAACCACTGAGCCACCATGCCACACCATGCCACACCATACCAAATAAAGGAGGCATAGGTAGGATTAGAATAAACAGCACAAGTGAGATGATGTACTCAAAGTCTTACACATGGAAACAGACCCTTGATCCAACTCATCCATGCTGACCGAGTTTCCCAAACTAAACTAGACCCATTTGTCTGCATTTATCCCATATCCCTCTAAACCCTTCCTATTCATGCAGCTGTCCAAATGTCTGTTAAGTGCTGTTACTGTACCTTCATCTCACATCAGAATCTTATCATGTGAATACACATATTGGTTATGGATGGAGACCATAAGATGTAGGAGCAGAAGTGGGCCATTCAGCCCTTTGAATCTGGTCTGCCATTCAATGCGAGAGTGGCTGACAATCCTCAACTACACTTTCTTGCCTCTTCCTCATAACTTTTGATTACTTTACCGATTAAAGGTGTCTGTCGCAGGTCCATTGAAGATTTTATAACCGCTGAGCGTTCATTCTGTCGTTTAAAGCAATAAAGGGAATTAAAACAAGAAAGCAGTCCAATCTGCGGACACTCTACCAATCAATCAGTCAATCTATCATTCATTCATTCATCCACAATGCCCGTACCTCTTGCCCTTTCCCTTTTTACTTTTTGTTCTGTCTCTCTGACGTGCAGAAAGCAGTGAGGGTAACGACGATCATGAAACGCCTGCGGGCACCTGAGCAAAGTGAGACAGGCAACAAATCGCCAGCAGCAGTGCCCGCTCCATCGGGCGAAGCTGAGAACAAGTCAGCGAGCGGCACTGCGGCGTCGCCCAGCCAGGCAGACAACTCCGCGAAGGTCGGCGTGACAGCGGAGACCTCCCCCCGGTGTAATGGAGAGGCAGTCAGTCCCCACAAATCCGCTGCCGAAGCGTGGGAAGGACAAAATGGCTGAAACCGTCATCGCTTGCACAGAGAACTTATTGTACAAAGTTTTAAAAAAAAAGTTTCACATTTTTAAAAGTTATAAGAGTGGAAGGCATGATCAAACGGATCATTCACATTAACAAGAAAATTAAATAAATTGAAGCATCATACAGATTCGATAATTGCCGTAGTTAGTTCCAGTGGGGCATGTGTTAAAAAGTCTGTGAGATTTTGAAGCAATAATTGGCATATGTGAATACTATCTTGGCCAAAGCGAATCTAGGATGAGTAACTTGGAGGGAGTGCTGTAGCCAAAGCCTAAATCTGCCTGTCATCTTTTTTTGCCCACAGTGTATCCACATAGTACACGTCTAGGCTATTATTCTTTTCAATCATTTTACATAGGAGGAGAAAAGAACTACTTTAATTGCAGTTTTTTGTTTAAAACCACAGATTATACTTGTTCCCCTCTGTGGTGCCCCTGCTCTGGACTGTATGGGTGGGTAGATCTTATTAAAATGTTTTAATATCAGGCTGTCCTTTCTTTAGTGGAGCTGACACCCTAAGCTCTTGCAGCTCATTTTTCAGTTTCTCACAGAATCACAGAATTATTATGGTGCAGAAGGAGGCTGTTCGGTCCATCGTGGGCAACGTTCTCCTTCTGACCCGGAGCTTTTACGTGTCGGGAAATGGCAAGGCTCTGCTCGCGATTTTCAGTCCACTGAAATTTACGGGCCGGCTATGCTCGTGACTTCCCGATCTCCCCAGCTAACCAGCTGGCCCCTGGTGCTCTTGGTCAGCATCACACCAGTAGGATCCCTAAAGTGTCTAGCATGGGAACTGCGCTGTCAGACATGTCGGCCTGGAGATCCCTCCCGCCAAAGCCGTGAACCCAGTTCCAATGGGCTGCTAAATCAATGGAGCATTCCAAATCCCGCAGCTCCCCTATCCAGCAGAACTTTTGTAGCTGTCAGAGCTTTTCACACTGTATTGCAGAGTTTAGTTTACATACAATACATCTCCATTGCCAGCGAATGAATCAGCACATTTCTTCTGTTAATTATATTATTCTTCATTTCGATGCTCAATGTATTCCATTTAAGACAGAAATTTGGGGTCCTCAAATTGGGTTTCCTAATCATGTCCAGTATTGGAGTTGCAGGTGTAACACTTAATTGGTCACTATACAGTCCACATGTCTCTTTAAGCCACATCCTGCATTTCAGATTTTGCAGAAAAAAATGTTGTTGGCAGATATTCTATGATAGAAAATGCACGTATTTTGAAAGCTTTGGGGTGCAGAGGAAGGGCATTCAGTTTTTCATGGTGTGAACTTCATAGGATGGTAATGGTAAGCATTATTTTAAGCAAAGCTTTTACTTTTGTGTATAAATTTCTAGACAGCTTCTTTGGGAATATTCCAAAAACTGCCTGTCTGTTGGTGCCCTGGCACAGATTCATCACACACAAATTAGAAGCCGTTTGGAATTATGTATATAGCCAGGTGACAAACTACGGAAACTTTCAAATGACAACAAAAAAGTTTAAATTGTTTAAAAAAAGGCTAAATTTGTAACAATGTGTATGTATTTGGAAATATATTTGTTAAGAGATTAAAATATCTGTGGCAGAAATGTGCAGAGTCTTCTGTGCTGTGAAGAAAATAAGATGCACAGAGGAAGGCTGTTGCATGTGGGCGACTTGTAATATGTACATGTAGTTGCATGCTTGTAGTTCTTACGCTTATATTTTGTCACACTAACATGGTGGGGTTAACATGGTGTAATTTCTTGTGCTGTAACATGTAAAATAATCAAGTCAATTTAAAAAGATGGTTTGAAAATTGGTGAAGATGTTTAGACTGCTAATTTACGCAACTACACTTTAAAGAAAAGGTTTTTGACTCTTAAGAAAATAAAGAAAATTTTAAAACATGTCTTTTCTTCCCGTGCTATATTTTAGCCAAGCACATATACTTCCCTTCTTCATACCTGTGCTTTCTTCACCTATCTTTGTTTCTAATGCTTCCTTGGTCAGAATGAATTGCATAGGTTGACGCTCATAAAATATCAAGAAAAATGCCATCTTGGCCTCCAAGCAGACTAACCATAGATATTTACAATCAGGCATTTGTAAAGCCCACCTCCTCACTCCCATTACAATATTTTTCAACTTCTGTGGTTATGCAGAAACTGCAACACAAATCATCATTATCTTTGTCTGCTTTTGTGCAGACTTTAGGAGGTCAAAGAGTACAATCACCTTTGGAGATGACAGGTCCTGGGAACTTCTAGGTATCTACACTAAGAAATTACATCTTTCACCACAAAGTATGGAATATTGCCACTTCTGTGCATTGTTTCTCAAAATCTTATTAGAATGTAATTTATGGTCCTCAATGTTTCTGTTTCTGCTGGCAGTGACCCGTGGATGTGGTGTAGTTCCACTGGAGCTGTCCTTTTGTAAACATTCTTCCCTGTGTGATCCCGGCAGTGATGGTCAATAGCAATATAGTTATGGGATCAATGAAGTTGGACCCAACATTGCTATTATCTGTCATCCGGATGGGTTGTCTCCTGATCATCAGTAGAAACCCAGGCTCCTATTTACTTTCTGAGTTCTGAGGAAGGGTTACTGGACCCAAAACATTAACTCTAGTTTCTCCTTCACAGATGCTGCCAGACCTGCTGAGCTTTTCCAGCAACTTTGTTTTTGCCCCTATTTACGTCCTCTCCTCTGGCTCAGGGTGCTAATTGTTGCAATCTCAATGTCATTTTGATTGAGATTAGTTCACTCATGACAGACCCTGAGAATGAACCAACAGTTCTGCTTCATATTGCTATCATTTATTTAAAATAAAATGGTTGTAGTATGAAGGAGAATGGGTGCAGACCAGGAAGATTAATGGTTCATTCCCAGGAGATGTGCCCTGGATTAACACATATCAGTCAAATTGGCAGTAAGAGCTCAACGTTTCAAAATTAAATTGCAAAAATAAATAAGCCGACTTGTTTTTATTTTGTATAAGAATTTTTTGTATGTGCTTGGGGTGGATGAGGGAGGATTGTGACTGCCAGCTTATTTCATGATATCTGCACATCAATTATGTATCAGAGTCCACAAAGTTCCAGAACAAATGCAACCCTTTGAAGCAGTGCTGACGCCAGAATACAATTCCCAATGTAATGGGTGAGAAACACCTAACTTTAAACTGTTCAGTAAATTTATAAAATGTAGATATTTTCAAATCAACCTGTTCATTCTGGAGCGGGTGGGAATTGAACCTTACTCAGAGGTCATAAGACCCCTATTCATAAAGGATAGTCTTAAGTTAATCAACTATCAGTCTGAATAAGAGAATTTTGAGATGTTTCCTTAACACAAGGAAGGGTAGCATTAATATTGCAGTTTTGTAGTTATCAAGATTGAGAAAAGTTAACTTACAAAACAGAATTTGAAGTGAGCTAAAGAGTGTTGCTTATGTTGCTTTAGCACTTGGTTTTCCTTTCATTTGCCATTGGGAACCTTAAACTGATGTCAAGCAGTCCTGGGATGAAAGCTTCAGTTTTGCTTAAACGGAAGATTGTATTGGTGGTAGATTTGCAATATTAATACCAGCGAGAGGAGTGAAATCTGGTATGTAGGGAACTAAAGATCTCAATGTTAAGAACAGACATTTTGAGAGTGTTTACAGGGCTCCTTCTGGAGTGCTGAAGCATTTTATCTGTGCTCAAGTAAATATATCACCAGGTGAAATTCTCACAGACACAGGAAAGGGAACTTAAAACAATATCTAAAGCTCCAGCAAGTTTTCAACTATCCTACTGTAGCGAACCAAGTCCTACAGATGATCTAATCATCATTTTTCTATGCAGCTAAAAGGCAAGACTTTTTTTTACCTTACATTTTAATGTAAACAAAGTTAATTTAAATAAGTCCATAGACATAAAGCAGAAGTAGGCCATTGGATCCATCACATCTGCTCCAACATTCAGTGGGATCATGGCTGCTGACCTAATAATCCTCCATTTTCCTACCTTTTCCCTATGACTCTTGACACAATAATTAGAGATCCACTTGTCTCAGCCTTAAACATACTTAATTACCCAGCCTCTACGGCCCTCTGCAATAAAGGATTCCACAGATTCACAACCCTCAGAGAAAGAATTCCTCATCTCTGTCATAAATGGACAATTCCTGACAGTGAGGTTACACTCTCTGGTTCTAGACTCTCCCATACAGAGAAACAACCTTCCTGCATCTGATCTGTTGAAACCCCAAAGAATCTGATATGTTTCAATAAGGTGATCTCCCATTCTTCTAAATTCCAATGAGTATAGTCTCAAATCTCCTCAACCTCTCTTCACAGGAAAACCCCTCCATACCCAGGATCAACCTAGTGAACCTTCTCTGGATTACCTCCAATAATGGCATATGTTCCTTAGATGAGGGACCCAAAACTGTTTACAGTCTTCTAGGTGTCATCTAACTAGTCGTTTGTATAGTTTTACTGAAGCTTCCCTATTTTAATATTCCATTCCTTTGAAATTAAGGTCAACATTTCATTTTCCTTCCCTATTATCCACAGAACTTGGATGTTAGCTTTTTGCAATTGATTCACAAGAACTCCTAAACCCCTCTGTGCTGCAATTTCTGGCAATCTTTCTCCATTTAAAAAAACATTCGGCTCCTCTATTATTCCTGCAAAGTGCATAATCTTACGCTTACCTACATTATTACTCCATCTACTATTATTTTGTTCACTCAATTAACTGTCTATATCCCTCTGTAGTTTCTTTGTCTCTCTGTATTCTCAACATTTGCCTTCCCACCTATTTATTTTTGTGTCACCAGCAAACCTGGCAATTGTCCGAGGCAACAAGGTGCAGGGCTGGATGAACACAGCAGGCCAAGCAGCGTCATAGGAGCAGAAAGGCTGACGTTTCGGGCCTAGACCCTTCATCAGATCACCCTTCTGATGAAGGGTCTAGCCCCGAAACGTCAGCCTTTCTGTTCCTATGATGCTGCTTGGCCTGCTGTGTTCATCCAGCCCTGCACCTT